ATTGATAGATATATAGATAGACAGACAGACAGACAAACATTCTGACAATCAGACAGCCAGACAAACAGGCCGACGTACAGGCACACAGACGGGCTGACTGACAGATAGATAGTCAGACAGACAGGTGTGTAGATATGCACGTTTCTAGATGAATAGCGGCCAATCTACCTAAGCACCTAGGGGCGACCGAATCGTAGACCGCACACATCGAGCGTCTGATGACTGTCTATAGAATAATCAATGGTAATCTAGCTGATGTCGAAGACCTATCAGTCGGACGAGTGTTTCTCCAGTTACAACTATTTTTTGATTTTATTTTACAGCTTCCGACGGAACGTGGTTTTTACCACTGAGCATGAAAAGGAGAACAGAAATTTTCACCTGCTAAATTCAAGGTACTCCATGAGAGTGAGGACTCCGTTTCAGATATTCATCGAAATCCATGAAAAGTTTAGTGATGTTCTACGTACTTCACACTCATGTACAGTACAATGAATTTCGACAGTAATGTGCGTTACGCTGGCAACCGAGGGATTTTATGTAGATTCTTCTTGATAGTTTATTTTTGTGACCTTGCTCATAAAAAAAGTTTAACATCTAATGACAGAGCACATGTTAACGACAAGTGTTGCTCAATTGTTTTCTTGGTTTCAGCCGAATGCTGCAGATGGAAAGCCCTCTTACCAGGCGCAGTTGTTTTCAAAGTCTCGACGCTTGGCTGAAGAACATGAAACAGCCTGACGAAAGCTGCACCGTGCACTTTAGGTTTGTATTATTATTTATCATATCCAGTCGATTTTCAAAGTCGCTTGGCTGAAGAACATGAAACAGCCTGACGAAAGCTGCACCGTGCACTTTAGGTTTGTATTATTATTTATCATATCCAGTCGATTTCAACAATGGAACTGATATAATAGTCTCGACTGATGGTAGGTGGAAGGTGATGTAAATAAGTCCTAATTTTAAAAATCCGAAATGCTACGGAGTAAGCATATAGATAAATCAATCTCGGGCAGCAGCTGATGAAGCTGACTGATTTCAATTCAATTCACTTCAGTTCAGTTCAGTTCAGTTCAGCTCAGCTCAGTTCAGTTCCGTTCAGTTAAATTTTACTTTAGATAAGCTTAGTTTAGTTCAGTTTGAACCCATTGAGAACTGAATTCTAACCGGCATAACACAACTACCACGAAAAGCGAATAGACCGGTGTTGGAAGTGACACAGGACAGTCGTATATGGTGGTTTCCTTGTTTGTGAAGGGTCTTTGAGTTCAACACTGCAAAGCGATATAGTGGAGCAGGTTCTGGCCAGCAAATCTGGCGGGAATCGTTAGGTTTGTCGTTCAAAAGCGCACAATTTCGAGGGGCATTTACCGAGAAAATTGATGTTCAATCAACAGAAAGCTGGAACAACTGGTGCGGTAAAAGTATAGAAGGACAAGCCCAAGGTGATAGCCATGACTAGTAAACTCGGATAAGCTCATACGAATACTTCTGTCTTACTTTGGGCGCGTATCGTGGTTTCAATGTTTTACCAACCACTTTCAAATTTCTGTTGACTTAAAATCTTGTTTTTCTGTATAGGGTCGTATACATCCCACTTTTTCACCAACGAGACCGGCCCTTTTGTACAGACCTCGTTTGCTTCTACCTGCAAGTATTTTGCTTGAAAGGCCACGGATGCCCAGCTATTGCGCCGTGTGATTCACTAGGGTTCGTGAATCTGTGCTATTCCAAACAGTTTCCGTAGAGGAGGAATTCCGCTAGTAATTTCACCATTTAGAATTGATCAAGGACAAACGCGCAAAACCACTTTATCAGTGTCACATCTGTCCGAAAAGCATAACATACGGTTGTTTATTCCAAGAATCGTCCATTATTTTTGGAACTCACAAAACCAATCTGTTCAGGAGAAGTCCAGTGAAAAGCGCAGGCCTTCTACTGGTTCGGCTGTCCTCATACGATTTGATCTAACGGCGGAGGTAGTTGTGAGAATTGATTTTCGTACGTGTATCGGTATAACCAGACGAACTAGTCATTCAAAATTCAGCGCAGCGTAACAACCGACACGTATGCTTTCGGATTGGCGAACATGTACAGCATATGGGATAATTAAACAAGAGAATAATGAATAGAGCAATGAATAGAGTATCAGTCATGTTCATCACATCCGCCACACCTTGAATGAGCGTGTGGATGTTTATAGTCCAGTGGTGGTGGTCTTGACTGAAACCTTTCAGATCTTCTCGGAATGGAAAGTTCAGACCCTTCACAGGTTGTGTTTCCTTCAGATACGTTTTCTTCAGATACCATAAGATCATTTACAAAGGACTCATCAGTATTTGGAACAGCAGGAGTGCCGTTAACAGACTGACGTCTGGTATTGAACTCAACCTGGTCAATGTGCCTCCGGTGGCAAGCGAAATCATCCAAATCAAGAATTGTGACCATTCGTTTGCCATTTGATAAAAGTATTATTCCTGTAGCAGGTCGTAAATCATTAAACTTGAGAAATGTATCACCAGCCGTTTCGGCACCGCGAAGACTTGTATGCAACAAGACGAGTTTTAAATAGAAGCGCGGGACCAATCCCAGTAACAGAATGAACGGCGTTTCTGTATTGCATTAGAAAATTATCAATCCCACGGTCCAATTTCACAAAAGTAGTGGGATAGTGTGAAATAATGGCAGACTTAAGTGTTCGGACAAAATTCTCAGCAAGTCCATTCTACTGGGCATGTCACGGAGCAGTGAACAGATGTCGACATCAAGACCCTTCCAACCTTCCTCGAGGAAGATTGCAGTGAGGTGTGTGCCGTTTTCAGTGACCAAAGCAATTGGTACACATTCATGGCTGAACACTTTCCTGAGTGAAGTCGGCACTTGCAGACTTAGTCAGAAAAAAAGATTTTCAGGCGAACGTGAATATGCGTCAGTAACGACCTAGGCATAATATTTGCCGATGAAACTACCACAGTGGTCTGCGGAAACTCGTTGAAACGCTTGACGAACAGGCTCGTGTAAGCCAAATGGAATAATTCGTCTCCTGGTTATTTTCATGTCACCTGCAGGCTTAGGACATTTAAGAATCAGTTGGTAATTTGTTGAAATGTTGGTGGCTCGGGTGAGTTTATTGGTTGTTGATCAGATGGCTGTTGATCTGTTCGCCGAGCGCAGTTGAGTGCGCACTGATGATGTCTACTCCTATGGTGACGAAACGTTCGCAAGCCAATTGCCAAGCTTGGCGAACAGATCAACAGCCACCTGATCAACAACCAATAAGAATCAGTTATTTGATTTCAATCTCATTCACAGAGGTCAGTAAGGTGATACTGATTTGCAGTGACATTCTGGATGTACTACATTCTTGATCAACGCATACACCTACTTTCCGACGAAATGTAGGATATATGCAGTGAGTTTCTAATCATCCATATCGGATTTTGTGAGGCATCATATGTCAAATCGGTCCTAACATCCTTTACGTCACGTGCAGTAGAACTAATATATAATGATTCCATTTCGGCAGCCTGATGAATTGCTCCAGTCGCGACGCCAGAATGTGAGAGTTCAGTTTCGTACGTATATCGGTACAACCGGACGACTTAGAAATTCAAAATGTAGCGCAGCGTAACAAGCAGCATGTATGTATTCCAACTGGCGAATACATATAGCATATGGAATAATAAAACAAAGGAATAATGAATAGAACAATGAATAGAGTATCAGGCATGTTCATCACAGTTGGCTAACCGAAAAGAACCCAGACAATTCCTTGTACGGATGACTAGCTTATATAAGTTCTTTAGATTATCAACAAACCATGTTGCCTGACTGATTTTAATATTCCTAAAACAGCTTCGATCGGTTTCTTCTCCTCCAAATTCACGATCGACGGCTGTTTTACCCAGAATCGTATCTTATCATGGACGTTCGTTACTATTCAAAATACCTCACTATTGGCAAAGCAGGATTAGCTACATGAACTGGACTACACATATGGTTGCTGCAAAAGGTTCGACAGCTGACAACTAGTTTCGTATTACTTGGGGCTCATCAGGTAGGCGCACCTCCTGACATCCCATCAGCCTTGTGTTCTGGATGATCATTTAGTGGACGCGAAACATTATTTTCGGTTCACTTATGTCCCTTGTTGGAAACAAATCCGTTTGCAAGCGGGAGTATTTGTCAAAATCTGTCGTGTTCAAGTAGAACATGAGGTTGACTGAAGCTCTGGGACTGCGACTACATGATGAGTATCAAGGCGGGGGAAGCCGGTCGAAGTTTTACTACGTATTTGGTTTCGTAGAGTTCACACAGTTTCACGCATCTGCTACGTAGCTGGAAAAATTCGAGTATTCTTCGCTAGCAGCGTTCGAGTTTATACCAAATCGTTTTGAAATGTACAGAATTCCGATATAACGATACTCCCCCAGCAGTCTCGGAAATAAAATTTTTAATTCATTTTGTTTCTCACTCAAATACATACACTCAATAACAGGGTTTAGCGATGCGCTCACGAATATAAACGATTTTAGCCAAAATGCACATAGAGTACTTTGAGCAGAAAGCTTTAAACGGACTAGAATATCCATCACGGAATTTTTGACCTTACGCGGATGACACGTTTGTTTTGATTCAGTGGGATAAAACCAGCGAATTCTTCCGATATCTGAACCATTTGGACCCTTACAGTTAGTTTCACATGGCTCTAGCTTCCACGTGGTCTACACTATATTTCCTTGTCTTCATGGCACATAACAATGGCACATAGCAGGCAGTCGTGCGGTCTGAAACTACTACATAGCGCATCCAAAGGCAGTATACGCTAGTATAGGTTCAACGATGATTAGGAGAGTGACAGCAATGCATATAGAGGAGGTCGACAGAAGAACAGCACAACTTGAGGTGCAAAAGCACCTGCGAGATAGCGGATGCACGATGTGATTTATCAAGCGTTGACTAAGAAGGGTATTGGTGTCCAGATCAGAAAAGCGGCGATTCCATACAAAACGGGGACATCTGGAATCATTAGAAGGCTATTGAATGTGGCTGACATCAGAGTAGCATTGAAGAAGAGGAAGACTTTACGCTCGGTGTTGGTGTATTTGAAGGATCGGCTTCCGGTTGATAGGACTAGGAACTGTGTATAGAGAACAAAATGTAACGACTGTACTAAGGCTTATCTACAGTTATATACAGCCATTGAATTGCACATGAGAATCGGTGAGCATACGTGTTACATTAAAGGACCACCAAGAAACATAGATGAATAGCAGGCGATAATCAAAGATCCGGCAACGGCAGGGCATGCACTAGACACTAGGCTAGGGAAGATTTAGAAAATAGGGCATCCTGAGACGGGCTTTAAGATTCAGGCCACAGCGACCGGTGGTCGGGGCGGTGCAATT